GTGGACCAGGTTTGCCTTGCCGTTCTCACCTAATTAAGAGTTCGATGTTGAAATACGGACCAAAGGAAATTAATTCGAGACCGAGTGAACTAATGATAAGATCATGTATAAGGGAATGTTCAGGTTTTAAGTAAGTGCGCTTCAAATGTTAATAAAACTTGAAATATGTGACTGATTTCATTGGTTGGTTATGTATTTTGCGAAAGTTTATTTAAAGTCCCGAGTACAATCCTCAATGTTTCTGTAGTTAGACCAAAGTGTTAAGTAAAATAAAATCCGACATTTACACAGTGCTATATTAAAAAGTTGCAACAATTTTTAAAATACAACTTGACAGGTGTATATAGAATAGGTTTGATAGACTAAGTGGTGAAAAACAAAATAGACGTATTTATAATGTTGGTATAACTATGAATGTGTTGATTATTATAACTACAGTGATTCACGATTACATGAAGACTAAGTTGAAAATGAAATCTTCAACGAAACTAGTAAAACATATATTATTCAAATTCGGACCTAAATATGAGTAGTAAGGCTAACAGTGCGACTGTTAATATAATAGGATTGTGATCAAAATTAAGTAGGATAAGGAATGTCCAGTACGGTAGAAGTAAAATACTGTAGAATAAGGAAAGAATAGTGACAAAATGGCGGAGATAGGTTAGTTATTTATGAAAGTGGTAGAACGTTTCAAATATATGTTAGCTGTCAGGCTACAATAAGTGATACTTTACCCATACACAAACCCTATTCACTATTTTCTCATGTCAGGTTACACATAACGTTCAACAGACTTTGATAAAAAGACATTATTCTTGCTAATTTAGTTTACAGAGTGAAGTATGTTCTCATCCATTCTGTTCGCTACACACTAACTAGCTTTATGGTATGCTTCATTTATTAGGTACTACTACGAAATATTTGTTCTGAGTTTTCTAGTAGATATTCAACTAAAACGTAGTAGGGGGTGAAATATTGTGTTACGATTTAGAACGATTCAATAGTCAATTCATATTATTTACAATATCTACTTTACACAATGAAAATTATGTTAATCTATGCATATATTTTTGCTCATTTCAGCAATATTACTGGATTGTTCAAATCACCTTTCAATAAACTGTCACGTCTTCCTAAACGAATCGCGATACAAGTAAATGAAGGTGAACCTCTCGTAATCACATGTCCAATAAGAAATTCAGTAGAAAAACCAATAACGTGGTTCTATGCACCAGATAATTTTGATGAGCTAATGAAGTTAATTAAAACTGCATATAATTTCACTACTATTATTCAACATAAAACACCATTAAGATATCTAATTACTACATTAAAACAAGTCAATTTTACAACATTAATACGTGAAACACGTGGACGATATAGAATTGATCCAGCTTATAATATTATTGTAGCTGAGACCGTATCATTGAACAAGACACAGCATAAAGAATTACATAATTTAATATGCATACATGGTGATGCGTACTCGATTCCCAATGGTTCAGATATTTATCCTGATTGGTCAGGTATAATTTATATAGATGTTTTGCCACAAAGTTCTTTAGCAAGGATTCTATCAAAGCTAACACCAGTTATTCAAATAATGATGCCGTTTGTTTTAGCATTAGGTATATTTTTTATGATAATGCTCACTTTGTATACTGAAAGGCGACCAAAAATGCGTTTAGCTGCCAAAGGTTTGGTAGTTAAATAATAATTATAAGGCAACATAACACTGAGGTCTATATGTACCTACAAATTTGAAAAAGAATGTTGAACGACTATGCCAAACTAATAAAAATGTTTATGTTTTAATCTACCGAATAATGTATTCAATTTGTTCACATTGTCGAATATCCTTTCTATTGCCACTAATACCTGTACTACATAAACTACTCTCACATCTCTCTGTGCTGATGTGGTATGGTAAACTGATGTACAAATGTGCCGAATTCTGCGTCGCATCTGACTAAACGACAAATTGCAAGACGTTGGTACTACAAACAGATTAAATATTAATGATGAACAACAGGACAACAGGTATGCTTAATTAAAACCAGCAGATTCCTTGTTTTTCTTCGTTTAGAACTTATAAAATAATATAAAGCCGATTAAAAGAGTCAAAATAAGATTCCTAAAACTTGTTATTTTATTTTTACTACTTTTCCACCCTGACTACCTTCGGAAATATCTCTTACTTTTCGTGTTTTACATTAGACACAAGTACCCATATTTACGTGAAACAGTGCAAAAAAGGTGTTTGAAAGCTTATATACAACTGAATTCAGGATAATCTAACAATGCCTCCAGTAAAATGTAACCCAATATTTTGTGTGAACCGACATCATCGTGAGTAAAGATGAAAATCTTTGTCGAGTTAGGTGTGAAATCTGCACTAGTGGTTAACAAAACTGTGTCGATGCCTGATCATACACTTTAACCTAGTTTATTCCAAGGTCAACACCGATTGTGGAACAGGTCCTGAATTACTGATCTCTGAAGACCATTCACCCCCCCCACAAGAATGTCACAAACTGAGAGTACTTTAAAATACCTTATTCCACAAATGCGAACATAATATTTCAGCTTTCAGTAGATATAAACACAAATGCTAATAATAATACAAAAGTAATGAAGTGTTGCAACAACATACTATATATACTATTACAAAAGTTATTATTGTTACAACCACGGAACACAATCCACTTCATGATATAAATTTCAGAAAACTATGATAAGTACCAGTAATCGCATTTAGTTAAACCATAGGGCACAAATAGGATTTAACTGTTTGAGAGTCGGAAAAGCTGACTTTTCTAGCCAAAATACTTTAAAACCGAGTTTCAATAGTGTATTTAGTTATTTATATTTATCTGAACATATAAATATTGGTACAAGGGGGCACCATATATATATATATATATATATATATATATATATATATATATATATATATATATATATATATATATATGCACCACACAGTAACGATGAGTGGGAAGAGAAAAAGAATGTAAGGTGAGTATGGGAGGGAATAAAGGAAAAAAGAGAACAATAACGACCACAGATTAGTGTATGGTAGTATAATAATAATAATAATAATAATAATAATAATAATAATAATAATAATGGGGGGGAACCGAAAGATACAACCAGAAAGAATTCTTTCAGTTAAGGAAGATACAACCACTTTTTATGAAGAAAGTAAAAGAAGGTTATAGCAAGATCGCTACTGGCTTCTATTCTGAGCCATATCTGATAACGTCTCCAGCCACTGATTGGCACCATCTCTCGAACCCTAGCCAGGGAACCGTGAAGGACCAACAGAAGCCAGACCGTTACAGCTTTCTTTCATACCACAACACCATGTCATACACTGAAGTTGATGTTTCAAGATGATGACATTAATTGGATTATCGTCTCTGCGCCCGAACACACAATCCCGAACCTCTGCGTTACTAACATGGTGCTGCCACTGGATATCAGCAATCCTTCGGAGAGAACGATGATCAAACGCAGAGAGTCTTCCACCATCCTCAACTCGGTGAGACCAGGTTTCACAAGCATAGAGCGAAACTGCTCTCACCGACGCGTTGTAGATCCGGCCTTTTACAGCCAGACTGACATCACGAAGGCGCCAAAGATGGCCCAGATTGCCATAAGCCGCTCTGACTTTCACTATACGTGAATCGATTTCATCAATAGTGATACAAATTATAATTTTATCTTCATTAGTATGAATATTTCTGAAGGATAAGGACGTCATTCCATGTCGGTGATTACAAGTTGCACCAGTCTCATTATTTGCGACGAATTCCTAACCACTTCTTAGTCCTTGAGCGACTCATCTCTTAAAACGTGAACGAGACAGAGAAGGCAAGAAGTATGGAAGGAGTTTGTGTATCGGAATCGAAGGTATTTATTTGTAACCAAGAGCTTCTAGATCCTACAGTTGGGCATGCTGAAATTGACGGCAAATTTGACAACTGTCCATCCAAGATAGTAAGAATACTGTTCTTTTGTTCTAGAATCTTCGTTTAAGTTTTTGAATAGCACTGGTTACTCGAGGTATTTTCAGCGTCTTCTTGGTTTTTAAGAACTTTTACTAAGGGGTCCAAACACATCTAAAGCTTTGTTTAAAAATATGGTTTTTGACTAACCAGTTTTCCCGAATATTACTCAGACCCGCACATGGAGTATAACTAATTAAATTGTAAGGGTGAATTTAAGCATATGTAACTGTTACCCAACAATAAATGATTTAAAGAAATTTATAATAGTTCCATTATTTATCAACTTAACACAAATTAAAATACTACGAAAAATAGAAAAACAGAATTTGTATTTCAAAAGTTATTTATTTCCACGAGTAATCACTAGTTAGTTTTAATAGTTCATGAACACTAAACCGATACGAGAATAGTTTTGATCGTAGATCGATTATTTTTTTATATCTATCAACAACCAGGAAGCACTTAATTTTTTTATATAATGGTTTAATACCAAGATTCCAATTAATTCAACGGTTCATTACCTGATGTCAGTCCAAAATAAATCTTCAGTTTGACCATTATATCAATTGAATATTCTGGAACAATAATCAAACTAATTGAATTTGAAAAAGATTCTAGTCACACATTCTCTAAAAGGTGTTAAGTTTATCAAGAAGTATAAAGGCTAGAAATCTTAGGGTTTTAGAATGAATTATAAAAGACTCTAGTCGTCAATGTGTAGACTAGATATTTTCACACTGACCAACATACTATGATTAGGTAAACTAAAGTGATTCTCTACATAACATGCATAAAAGAAATCCGGTTGAATACGAGCTACCGGAAGAGAATTGTTTTCTTCATTTTATTTTCTATTCTCATTCATTTGCATTATGTATTATCTTCAAATTTTTCCGATGAAATAATAAAAGAACAATTTTATACATAGCGTGGAAATAAAGATATAATAATTCTTATTTACATTATCCACATTTTGGAAAAAAAGCTTTCACAATTATCATAATATGAGAGAAATGATATGTAGTTGTCAACTGTACATGTATAATAAGTAAACAATTGATAAGCTAAAATTCTGCATCTTCATAATACTTTTGTATATCTCGCATTGCTTCAAGCGCAGTTGCATGTTTATTTTCAGTCTCTGTATCCATTGACAAACCGAATACACATACTATAAAGCAAAGGAAAAAAAAGTACTGATTGAAATAAAATCTCGTATGTCAAGTACATTTCTTTTTATGTTAAACAAACTGCTTATCGGGGCAGCTAAAACTAAACAGATTTTTGGACTACTTATTCCCAGTTTTACTTGATAGTTTACATATACATATCATAGCTAATAAATCGGATGAACAAAATTCTTATTTGTACGTATGAACATTCCAAACATAGTGCAACTTAAAGGATAGTAGGTTTTCAACAGTGGAATCGTATGTCGTTTCCTCAGTAGTGGCTACGGTTTCTATATTTCAAAATAAGTAATATCTAAACAACTTCAAATATTTGCACTCTATTGAAAATTATCTCTATAAAAAGGTTTAAATTCAATTCACAAGTTTGGAAATAGTTTGCTTTCAATCTTGCTCAGCTATAATTTACCTCGGTTTTAAAAGTCAAGTGATTTCTATTAGTTTCAAAGTAGTCAATGGCGCTCAGTCACTTGACATTTATTATGTCGGATTTTCCATTTCATGCACATAAAATGGTAGTTTAACTGCTACCAAGTATTTCATTTGTCTTTCTGAAGTATATATTACTGTCATGTCTCACAAAAAAGGTCAGTGCTTAAATGAACCAACGGTAAACCCTGATCTTACCAAACGTTTCCCAATTACTTATATGTAAGCAAACGTAGGTAATGGCTGTGAATGTGTTACATATTTTTCGCTCATCAATGTCAATAAGCATTTATGGTCCGACTGGTCGATTAACCATCTCTAACTTTAATTATGTACATAATCTCTTTATTACTGTGTTGTAGCTTTCATTATTCATTAACAGAACATCGAAAACGCATATATATTTGAACTAAATTTTTGGTTAGCGTTTTTTAGCGAGTTAGTTTTCTACGCGATGGAGTCGCTAACTCCATGCCCAACCTTACTCTCTTGTCCGGGCTTGGGGCTGGCAGTATCCCCAGAGGGGCTCCAGGCGGAGTTTTAAACTAAATTACTAACTAGTAATGAGAATCGGTCAATAAAATGGTTTCTCGTATACTATCAACTAGATTTCGTCGGTAACATTTTACAGTGAGCTATATTATTTGATTAAATAGTAATTAATATTTATCTTCTAGTCATTTACATACTGACAAATGCTTTAAGATAAATTAGTAAACCGGTATGTAATCGAGATCCAATTCAACTTGAGGGTATTTATTAGTAAGAAAACACTTCTCGGTACAACTGAAATTCTGAGATTATGATTGTGAATATAAGTGTTAACACTGATACAATCCTCAGAAGATCAACATAAGGCATAATTTTTTATCTGCATAAATGATAATATAATGATAGTTAGACATCAAAATTTTCAAGTGTTATAACAAAAGTCATGTAATAAAAACTGTTATTTTGAATAAATAGAAATAAGGATAATTATGTATATCCTTGGATTCTAGTGAGAAGCAGTGACCAGTGGAGTTCAACCGTATCTGTTGTAAGATAGTAACTCACTGATGACAATGGTGGATGTGTCGCTCAATTTTGTGGATTAGTTGAAGTTATACATTAACACCGTTGGATACCGGCTCATTGGTTTATAGGTTAATCGTTCTCGTGCGAGACTGAAAAGTCCTGAGTTCACATCTCATGGGACGGGATCGTGGATACGCACTACTGAGGATTCCCATACTAGGATGAAACGGCCGTCCAGTGCTTCCAGGTTTTCCATGATGGTCTAACTTTAATTGACTCATGATCTCAACTATTGAAATTACTTAAATCTCCACAAAAACTCATTCTAATTATGAAATTATTATATATTATCAACTTACATGTTTTAGTTAATTCAACAAATAAACTTTTTTTACCAGATTTAGCTGATAACATTTCATTGTTTGCATCAATAACAACAAAACGATCATTTAAAAAATCAATATTTAGTTTTTGTGTACCAATTTTTGCCATAACCAAACGTATAGCACGAACTTGATTTGTACTCAAATTAGTTATACTCTAATATATAAAAAGGTAGTAATAATAATAATGAGGATATCAACTAAAGTGAATAGGTTAAGTTTATAGAAAGTTAATAACTGTTATATCCGAGCAAAGATTAAATTACAGGTAACTCCCGAGGACTATTAATGGACTAATATTCTATAAATATTCTTATTGTAAAACTATTGAATAATTAGATTATGTATATTTATATTGCTTTTATTATAAGCTTTATTTTGATCTATAATTTATTATTGTACGATTTACGGTTCTTAAGCTATACTCAGTCTATTAATTACTGTGCCCCTCGTTCATAGCCACTTTTTGGCTTATTGTGTACACATGTTATTTTCTATTTTTATGGTACGATGTGGTCTGTTTGGTTAGTATATAAACAGAGTGTGTTTGAAATATAATGATTCATATCTCAGAGGCTGTGACTTGCGTTCTGGACTCAACTGGCTGGGATAGACAGTGAAGCAGGGTCAATTGGGACTCTAGGTCGTTCACTACGTGTTTACGTGTCACAGAAGCGATCTATATAAAACGCTGCATATCAAAACCTGCAGTCTCACACGTTGCAACAATAACTATTTTAAATTTCGATAGAAATAAAGTTACACTGATAATGAAGAAAATAGAATGTTAGCGAAATATCAGATGAAATATTCCTATAATAAACATCTACATTTTCAACTATATTTAAGTGGAGAAATTTGATATACTAAATCTTTAGAAGGGTTTTTTTGTGGATATTATAGTAATTTCAATAGTTAAAATCATGATCTAATTGAAACTAGACCATCATAGAAAACCTGGGGAGCACTGAGTTTGAATCTCGCGAGGAGAGGTCGTAAATGCGCACTGTCGAGGAATCCCACAATAAGACGAAACGATCGTTCAGTTTTTTCAGATTTTTCATGGTGGTCTAGCTTTAATTGACTCATGATAATTTAACTATTGAAACATACTAAATTATTTATTTTATTAGGTAAGTTTGACATTACTTAAATTTCTTTTACAAATATTTCACTCTTAAAAAGCAGGGTTAAGAGAAACCTAATCGGGGAGTTTAGAAGTTTAAACTATTGAGCAGTTTAAGCTTTGTCTCATAGAGTATACCTATTAGGACAGATCAGAGTTGATCAAAATGCTACAGTTATCCAACTAAGGAAGTTATTAGGAAAAAAATTATGAACATTTGAGTATATTTTGTGAATAAAATGAACTATGTTGTTTCAACTAAAGTATAAATATTCTATAAATTTTCTTCTACTCTATATCTTATATGTGGTGTGTAGCAGTTGTAACAGTCAACTTGGAATGCTAATTAATCTTGCATTAATTTGACGAATAAAACAATTCTTTGTTTAGAATTATATAGAAGCATTGATTGTCAAATGGTAACCAGTTGTATACTCTAGTTATTAGTATCCATCAACGTTAAACAAAAGACTTGATAATGTATTAAACTATAACCGTTTCTCATACTCTGTCCATATAGGTCTTTCTGTGTACTGTTAGCGGCATTTATTGTTCATTACTTTTAAAACCAACTAGAAGTTAGTATTATCTCTTTGGATCCGAGCTTAAATGTTTGAATTCAATCAGTATTTAAAGAGAAACCTACTAATAGAGTAAACCACATCATTTTTTAGATTACTGACAGATAAATTAGACCATTTAATAATTCATATTCAATATTTGCCTAACAAACGTTAGATTAGCAACATATGAAACAAATTTAAATAGTTTAGTTGTTTTGACGAAGATTTTGTACATCTGGAAAACGATTTCATTTTCGCGAACTGACATAATCTAAGAAACTGGTGAAGATCACCCAGTGATGAACGTTTTACTATTTATCTTTGTTTGTGATTACTCAAAAAGCGACATTTATTAATTCATATACAATCAAGTCCAATGCCTGTGTGTTATGACATTTACTCAGTACTATTGATTTACGAAACTGCGATCTAGTGAAACACATGTTAGATCTCAATAAATTTGAAAAGATCACAACCTATCTGTGTATAAATTATGAAACGAGGTGGACTCAATATAATAAACCAAAATACTCAAGTCGATAATGAAATTTAAGAATTGTAAAGCTGTACAATATGAATGCATATATTAAGTTTAATTGCTAGTAGATAATTTCACATTATTATTTCTAGATCAATCGTATAATTAGTTGTTTCAGAAATCGTTTTACCTACAGGTTTTCGAAATCTGTTATTCAAACAAGATCGGAGAGATTTTAAATAGTTCCATATTTTTCACTAATGACCTGTGTAATATATAAAGTCTTGTGTTATATATCTGAGCATTCATTAGTCGCTATCCTTATTTGCGTTTTTACTTAAGATCAATATTAGTGATACACACTGTAGATCAATTGACCCTGTACACGAAAACAGATAGCTTAAAACATGGACATAGTAAATACTCTTCTTTATTTGACAAGAAACATAGAAAGAAAATTGATCTTGGAATTGACACAGTAACATCCACTTGTCAGTAATGATAACTCAGAAGATTGAATTCTATGGAAGCGCCCAGCTAAACAGCCATGATGCGCATGAAATTGAGGTTCAAATAAACTATTTATATGAAGAAGGGTTCCGTTATTACAATTTATGTGTAAATTAGATAATAACCTGGAATCTGAAAGTATCTATAGTGACTGATGCTTATGCATGTATAGAAAGAAAAAGGCTTTGACAGATTAAAGTAACAGATAGTGGGTGTGTCTAAAGTAAGTAATGGCTATCAATAATCAGAGACGAAGGACAAAACATACGAAAACTGTCACGTTTAAATAAAAATTTAGGGAATTCTCGAAAACCTGACGTGTAAATACAATAGCAAATAAAGTGAATGTTTTCTGTTTATTTAAATACTTTGGAATATCATAGAATAAACATTACTATTAGAAATTATGATCAATAAATTGGTTACTGAATATTTACAAGTAGTATAAAATAATTGACACAAAATAGATTGAGCGGAGAAAGTGTGAATATAGAGCATGCAAACGAACTTTACATGCAGTTTCTTTGAATCATGTTTTATGTATTAGCGAAATACCCATCTCCAGTCATAACTAAAAAATCTCCATTTGTTCAATGTTGCTATCAAGGTTAACATATATATATATATATATATTTAATAAATAATATTGCAATTACTGATGATAATCTATTTTTTTCGAAAAAGATACTAGGCATTAAGATTAGTTGAACTAACTGCGAATTCCGGGATTTTAAATGCACTTCCTAGTACGCGACTTCCATGATCGCAAACACAAAGAGCATCTAGTTTTGAATGAACTTCAAGTAGTGCTCGACACTGTTCACTCCAAGCACTATATGGTACATGCACGGTCATATCTATTATTTCCTGAAAATGAAAAATAAACAATAAAATATTAATAATATTACATAATAAACGATATCAATATTTTTCGCTTTTCAAGCAGCATATTCCGGTGGATATCAGAATAAAGCAAGAACAAATATTGACGAATATATTAGTAAAATAATGTCTACTTTAAATGATTCCACTAGATTTATCATCGATAATACCCAGAAGGATTTAACAGAGACAACAGAGAAGCGACTTGTAAATAAATTGAGAGATCTCCTAAAGAGAAATCTAATAGATAATCATACATACAATGAACTTAAACATAAAGGATCACAATTACCGTACTTATACGGCCTACCCAAAACTCACAAGCCCAATATCCCGATTAGACCAATATTATCCATGGCCAATTCGCCTTTCCATAAACTCGCCCGCTGGCTGACAAAGTGCCTTGAACCAATACGAAAGAAACTAACTCCTTACAGTCTAAAAGATAGTTTTGAATTTGTACAAAAACTCGACAACGTAAATGTTTCCGATAAATTTATGGTTTCATTTGACGTCTCATCGCTCTTCACAAACATCCCCTTGGAAGAAACGATAGAGATCATATGTGATTATCCTGAACTTCTACCCCTACCAATCCATGATTTTAAACAGCTTCTCTTCTTATGTACAAAAAACATACAATTTCAATTCAATAATGTCCTCTACCGCCAAATCGATGGAGTTGCCATGGGTAGCCCATTGGGCCCGATTCTTGCCGATATATTTATGGGAAACCTAGAACAAAAAAAACTTAAGCACGTAATCGATGGTACTACACTGTATTGCAGATATATTGATGACACATTCCTCGTCTGCAACAATCACGACCACGCCATTAAGCTACTCGATCTATTTAATAAAGCACACGAGGACATAGAGTTTACTATGGAACAAGAAGCTGAAGACAAATTCCATTTCCTCGATGTTGGGATCCGACGAACATCTGATGGTAAATTACATAGACATATTCACCATAAAAATACCTGGAGTGGTCTTTATCTCAATTACCACAGTTTCTGCCCCATGAGTTACAAAAAAGGTATTGTACGAACCCTTTTTGACCGCGCTCAAAAAATCTGTTCAAAAGAATACCTTAATGATGAAATTAATCTGATTACTAATGTTCTACGCGATAATGAATATCCATTGAAATTTATCCAGAAATATGCCAAAGTCAATCCTCATACAAAATACGATGGAGTAGAAAGAAAAACCTGTTTTTTACACTTACGTTTCAAAGGTGATGAAATCGCTGGAATAATCAATCAAAGAGTAAACTCTGCGTTGAAAGTCACCTACCCAGCAGCAAAACTTATGACAGTATGGCAAACGAACTGCTCACTTCAACAAACCAAAATCGACAAGCCCTCTTTTCTTAGTAGCTCCAACTGCATCTACCAATTTACATGTACGTGCCAAAGCACATACATTGGAAGAACTGAGAGAAGAGTGCATGTCCGCATTTCTGAGCACGTTCCAAAAAACTTGAGGCTGCGTGGGACCAGGGCTTTCAACAGTGCAATAGCTCGACACCTAATTGACACCGGACACACCATCGACATTCCTCATGCATTCAAAGTTATCAATAGACAAAGAAATACGACCAGCCTCCGTTTTGCTGAAGCTATTATGATCAAAAAACTTAAACCTGACTTATGCATTCAAAAAGAGACGTTAATTAGCTTATCACTACCCTGGTAACCCTTTATTATTATTATTATTTTATTTTTATTTATTTTAAAATATTTATATTCCTCCCCTATTACATAATTCTTAAACCACATTATTATTTACGCATTTCCACCACCTGATCCTCCTAAATTATCTTAACTTTTCATATTCTATTTAATTATTATTACGTAACCTATCTTATGATTATTCAATTGCATTATTACACCACCCAACCTGGATTAACCCCCTTCTTTTGACCTCTGACCTATTTCTAGCATATATATATATAGTTATTATTGTAACCCAGTTATTTACACTCATTTATGTCAATTGTTTTCACTCTATCTCCATGTAAAAATTCTATCACATTTTTTGGTTTGTAAGCAGCTGACGAGAAACCTCGAAATAATATGAATTCATACTATTCTGCATCAATATTTGTTCTTGCTTTATTTAAATTCATAAAGGGAACCAATTGCATGATATCAGAATAAGCGTTTATTTAGGTGGCTTTTTCGACTAGTTGGTTTCCACAATTTGGTCGACAGGTCCTGTAGGTCAACAGACAAATTTCATTTCTTGTACTTGTGCTAAGCACTTGAGAAGTTTAGTTCATATCAATGCCAAAGGCTTCTATTTTACGCAGATACGCAGCAATACAGTCAATAGAATTCAAATCGATCTGATTTTATGGACTATCAAATGAAACTAGTTTTTTTAAAAAACATTGAGCAATCAAATTGTAATATGTGTATCATGCATAAAAGTGATTGTTTCTTCCGATCATAACTAACGATAAATGTAATTGCTAATTCTTTGGAAAACAAAAGTGAATATATTTGTTATAACTGTAAATTATACCAGAAACAAAAAGAAGACGGAGATTCACATGATGTATAGAAGATAATAAGCGATGTAAGACGAAATTTGTATTCATCCACTAAAAACAATAATATAATCATTTTAGTAAAACATAATCATTTATACACAAATTTTACCACTATTAAATAATTAATCTATGCATACTTACTTACTTGCTTACGCCTGTTATTCCCAATAAAGCATAGGACAAAGACCACCATTCTCCAAACAACTATGTCCTACTCATTCCTTTCCAGTTATATCCAATTATTCTTCATTCTTCTCATGTCTGAATCCATTTCTCAACGTAATATGTTCTTTGGTATTCCTCTCCTCCTTTCGTTAGCCTTCAAGATTCCATGTGAGGGCTCGCCTTGTGACGCCGTTCGGTACTTTCCTCAATGCGTGTCCTATCCACTTACAGCATTTCTTCTCGATTTCTTCCTCCACTGGAATCTGGTTTGTTCTCTCCTACACCTGGTTGTTGCTGATAGTGTCTGGCCAGTGCGTCTGAAGTATTTTGTGTAGACAATTGTTAATAAACACTTGTATCTTCTGGATGATGACTTTCGTAGTTCTCCAGATTTCCACCACATTCAGTAGAACTGTGTTGACATTTGTATTGAAAATTCTGAACTTGGTGTTGTTTGGTTGAGAGACAGTTGTTTTGAATTTCAGATGTTCTTCAATTGTAAATATGCTGTTCTTGCTTTTTCAATCAACCCCTTCACATCTGCATCAGATCCACCGTGTTCATCAATGATGCTACTCAGATATGTCATGGTTTTTACATCTTCCAAATCTTCTTCGTCGATTGTGAATGGATTGGTGCATGCTGTGTTGTATCTGAGAATCTTGCTTTTCACTTTGTGTATATTGAGACCCACTGCTGCTGAGGCTGCTGCTACACAGGTGGTGGAGTGAGAGTAAGCAACCTTGCCTGACACCGTACTTTATTTCGAACGAGTTTGTCAACTGTCCTCATCATTTGTTCCAACTACTTAAATTATGTATGATATGCATTTTTTAAGTAGTAGGAACAAATGATGAATATTATGCTTAATCAATTAATAATCTCTAGATTGATCCCATCCTAACACAATTTATAAATCGTGTCAAAGCTCATTAATTTAGTTTAATGTTAAGCTTTGCTAATTATTCTGTATATGTGTTGTACAGCTTATTTTCATTGTATGATACCAAACACTAGAGTGTAAAGTGTGAATACTAATATCAAGTTATGTTTATGATAAAAATTTGAATCATAATCAACCTGATCATTAGTTTTCATAGTAATTTCAAAGTTAATTCATCAAATAAATCTAAGGGATACAGAACATAAATGGATTTTATTATTCTCTTTATCAGTGATAAGTAGCCTAAATATTCAATCCATAATATGGTTCAAACCAAATAATCAACATTATTCTTATGAATGAAGTTTGACGAAAATTCGAAATCAAACACTTAATCAGATTGATAAGATATATCATCTACACATATAAAACAACATTATGTATTATAGAGGAAGAATGTATTTATAAAATCTCAGCGAAAGAATTTGAAGTAAATCCAACGTTTCATCTGACAATCTGGTCCAAGATTTTTCAAGGAAATATGTCTTTAATGTCTCACATTAACTCGGTGCCCAAATACTGTGAAACTATTATGTATTATAGTTGAAACTAATATATAGTGATTCACTCACTTTTCTACATAGGATTCATTCTTTTCTAATTATGTACTGAAACTATGTAATTATTACTTATTTTTCATAATCACCATTCATCTCATCTGCCTTACTTTACGTGGTTAGATTTTGTATTCTTATGTAATAATCCTCCATCATTTTATGTCTTATTTTGAATTTCTGTCTTAAATTTCTTAAATGAAGTATATCAATCTTATAGTTTATTTAGTATCTAGGTAGAACTGAAATTCAGGACTTGTGTTTCATTCTAGTTAGTACTTGTCAACTGGATGACATGAATCCCAATGTTGATATTCACACCAATTCTTAAACCCAGCCTCTGTCACTTTAAACATCAACTCATTATCAACTAAACTGAAGAGTTCAGTTTGCCATTACCATGTTCTACGTGTATGAAAGTATCTATAAAGCTTTTGTAATTTTAACCATTTCACTTGTTGTAACTTGTAGTAACTGTAAATTATTTAAAGATAAACAAGAATGAATTATACTTAAACCACTTCTGGTCTGAGCCATGTTGATAGATGCAGACTACTTGGTTGGGGTTCGCGTGACTATCGTAATCAATGATTAGAGACTCTTGGTGATATGGCTTAGAATCGATCACATTGGCGTAGGTGTATACACTCTCTGTCTTCCCTTAAAGTACGGGATTAAAATCGTTTCATATCTTTATTTCTACATACTAATTCTTTCTTCCTGTACTATATCCTTACATACAATCTTTCTTTTATATATTACCACCATTCACTTAACTACTTCTATAAATCCGGTGTTCATCTTGCTGTGCTAGTGAGGTATGGCAACCTGGACCGATGCATGCATGTGCCTGGTCCTACGTTGTAGCTGATTGACTGGCTGATTATTATACTCTATAAACCTTAGTGCTGATTCCACTCTGTTAAAAATAATCAAAGAAACTAAATGTATAACAGTGTAAGTTTCCGAAAAAATGTAGTATACAAATACTAAATAATCACCGTAGAAGACTACGTACTGATGGAATGGTGGAGAGGAAATCGATAGATTTCTACCTAGGAAAACGCTGTGTATACATTTATCGAGCTTAAAAGAAAAGGCTTTTTTCCAAGAAGGTAAAAACCAACAAAAATAAGAGTTAGTTGATTTTCAAACTTTGATCAGTAGCTTATTTAAATAGGATCAGCAAAGCAAGAGCATCACATTTACAATTGAAGTACACCTGAAACTCAAAACAACTGTCTCTCAACCAAACAACACTAAGTTCAGAATTTTCAATACAATTGTCAACACAGTTCTACTGTATATTTTGGAAATCTGGAGAACTACGAAAGTCGTCATCCAGAAGATACAGGTGTTTATTAACAATTGTCTACACGAAATACTTCGGACACGTTGGCCAGACACTATCAGCAACAACCTACTATGGGAGAGAACAAACCAGATTCCAGTGAAGGAGGAAATCAGGAAGAAATGCTGGAAGTGGATAAGACATATATTGAGGATCGCACTGAACGGCGTCACAAGACAAGCCCTCACATGGAATCCTCAAGGTTAACGAAAGGAGGAGAGGAATATCAAAGAACACATTACGTTGAGAAATGGATTCAGACATGAGAAGAATAAACAAGAATTGGATATAACTGGAAAGGAATGAGTAGGATATAGTTGTTTTGAGAATGGTGGTCTGTGTCCTATGCTCCATTGGGAATAACAGGTGTAAATAAGTTAGTAATTAAGTTATTTAATTAGGTAGCTGAATTGTTGACCGAAATTTCAATTTACAACATAAAGTCATTATTAATTAATACAATCTGTGTATATAACTGGCTTTTTGTTGCTAATTTCTTTCATATTGAAAAATAAATGAATAGTTATGAAATTCAAAATAGACATTAGACTGAAAAACAATTTTATTATTATGAATAAGATTTGTTGTTTGCATCAAGCAATGGATGAATTCACATAACTTATGGACTAATGCATATCATGATCAAAGTATGATTAGATAAACAATTACACGCTTAGATAAACCAGCTTCATAGTAATATATAAGTGAAATGATTTAACTTTACAACAAAAAACAATCGTCTAAAGATTAAGTTATACTATTAGGGACCATTAAATGATACAATAAAATTATATCAACTCAAAAACTTATAATTTATCATACAAATATTTTTCATGTAAACTGAATATAGAATAAATAGAAGTTCACTTGGTATTGTTTCACTTGAATCTTTCCATTGATGTTTAGGACTGTAATTGATCAGTCATTTATTAGCATATGTGCATCCTGTGCGGATTACCTTGATATTGCCTTAATTCAAAAGCATTATAAACAAAAACGCATAGTGGCTAGCGGTGGAATCCAGGACGCGCGTTTCGTCCTACTTAGTATTCGTCAACTGAATTTGCCTGTATCTCAGAGTTGAAGTTCACTCCGGGACTCTAACCTAGTACCGTTCGCTTCAAACGTCATCGCGTTATCCACTTAGCTTATGGCCTGTTCCGAGTATTTTTAACAATAGAGGATGATGGATGTTTATCCTTTACTCTTATTGGGTCACTTTATTTTATTTGTTTCTGCAACCATTTTAGTACATGTTCATATACCCTAACTTTGAGATCACGATTGCTCCTTCCTATGTATGTGTGACCATACACACATTTTAATTGGTAAACACAATGGGATGTCAATTAGTTTTGGGGTGAAGTATGCACCTTGTTCTTTCTTTGATAATGACCTTTGCTGTGCAATACGTTTTGTTGATGACTGATTTAAGCCTTTGTTTCAATAAGAGGCTATTTGAATCACCTCTGAATGGTAAGGTGATGTAGACAGGCTTTTTTTTCTACCAAGACCACAGTAGGTCTCACTATACCATGGACTTTCCATCTACTTATGAATTTCAGAGGACACGATCAAGCCTGCTGAATAGGCACCTTATCAAACCACGTTTGTATTGCACAGGGCAATAACTATAACAATTAATGTATTGACCTGTCCACGTTAGTCTTCTAAAAATGGATCGTTTCACTGAGCCATCTTCTCGTCTACTCAGAAGTATATCTAGGAAGAGAAGCTGATTGTTCTTTACCTCTTCACATGAGAGACTTATATGGTTTTGGAGAGTGTATAATTTATTCAATAAATAGTACATATCCTCATTTCTTTCACAAACAATAAGATATCGTCCACATATCTCTTATAAAGTGACATGTTTCCGTTCAGGTCATCAGCCAGATTTTCAACATGTAGAATGAACACATATGCTAATAATGGCATTAGCGGACTACCCATAGCAACCCCATCAATCTGACGAAAGTATTGACCTTCAAAAGTGAACTGAACTTTGTCAGTACATAATAATAGAAATACGAAATTTATCACCACAAATGCTGACTTGATGTTAACCATATGATCAGTCTCTATCAAATGTTTCACAATGATCAGTGGAATTCATTTGTTTCTGCAGTCATTTTGGTATGTGTTCACCCACCCTTAATTGCAAATCATGATTTTTCATCAAACCTCCGCCCGCAGCCCCTCTTTGGCTACTGTCGGTCCCAAGTCCGAATAAAGGAGGAGGGTTAAGCTTAGGGTTAGTGACCCCACCTTGTTGAAAACCAACTCGATAGAAAAACTCTAAAAACGCTTTTATCAACTACCATACATACTACTAACATAGTTTAGATTTAATTGAATAATTTTCTCTTAATAGTGTCATTCATTTATCATATCACACCATGACCATATTTCTTGACTCTGTTTATACTTACTTACTTACTTACTTACGCTTGTTACTCCTCGTGAAGGAGCATAGGCCGCTCACCAGCATTCTCCATCCAACCCTGTCCTCGGCAATCGTTTACAGCTCCTTCCAGTTGTTATTCATCTTTTTTATATCTGCTTCGATTTCCCGGTGTAATGTGTTCTTTAGCCTTCCTCTTTTCCGCTTCCCTTCACGACTCCAAGTTAGGGCTTGTCTCGTGATACAGTTTGGTGAAATCCGAAATGTATTTCCTATACACTTCCAACTTCTTTTCCTAACTTTCTCTTCAGATGAAAGCTGGTTTGTTCTCTTCCACGGAAGTCTGTTGCTGATGGTATCCGGCCAGTGGACATTGATTATCTTGCGTAGACAACTATTTATAAATACTTGTACCTTCTTGATGGCGGTTGTTGTAGTTCTCCAAGTTTCAGCTCCATACAGTAGAACTGCTTTGACGTTGGTATTGAAGATTCTAACTTTGATATTAGTTGAACGTTGTTTTGAGTTCCATATGTTATTCAATAGTAGGAATGGGGCCATTGCTTTGCCAATCCTCCCATTTACGTCTGCACCGGATTCTCCTTGTTCATCGATGATGCTTCCCAGGTATGTGAAGGATTCTACATCTTCTACATCTTCTCTTTATGAGTAAAATAAAATAACACTTACTTAGCTTTATCTGTTTTATTGTTTATTTATTATTAGTGCATAATTACTATATAACTATTTATTTCTAACCTTTTGATCTCTTGCTATTATCAATAGGTTGACACATTCTTTGGTTTATAATATTTTTTTACAGTTTATGAACTTTGTTTGAATCATTACTATTGTATGTTAATATATGTTCACGTCAACCCCTAATCAAATTCATTTTTTTTTCTAGGAATTTGAAATTTATTAGATTATTTTGATTTTGTAACACTACAGGTTACAATTAGAAATTCACAACAACAAAAACAACAACAAAAATTCAAGAATATATGGCAAGACTAATATTTATGGACGAAGAAATCAAGTATAATATAAAACGTTTTAGATTTTAGCGCGTAATTCATTCATTCATTTGGATAAATAGAGTTTTCGTATTATAGCTGATATTGGTTCATGATGAAAATCCTAAATTTAACTACTGAACATAACAATCAACTATAAATCAGAATTTTTATTCCTCATATTGATTTATCATCATCATCATCATCATCATCATCATCATCATCATCATCATCATCATCATCATCATCATCATCATCATCATCATCATCATCATCATCATCATCATCATCATCATCATCATCATCATCATCATCATCATCATCATCATCATCATCATCATCATCATCATCATCATCATCATCATCATCATCATCATCATCATCATCATCATCATCATCATCATCATCATCATCATCATCATCATCATCATCATCATCATCATCATCATCATCATCATCATCATCATCATCATCATCATCATCATCATCATCATCATCATCATCATCATCATCATCATCATCATCATCATCATCATCATCATCATCATCATCATCATCATCATCATCATCATCATCATCATCATCATCATCATCATCATCATCATCATCATCATCATCATCATCATCATCATCATCATCATCATCATCATCATCATCATCATCATCATCATCATCATCATCATCATCATCATCATCATCATCATCATCATCATCATCATCATCATCATCATCATCATCATCATCATCATCATCATCATCATCATCATCATCATCATCATCATCATCATCATCATCATCATCATCATCATCATCATCATCATCATCATCATCATCATCATCATCATCATCATCATCATCATCATCATCATCATCATCATCATCATCATCATCATCATCATCATCATCATCATCATCATCATCATCATCATCATCATCATCATCATCATCATCATCATCATCATCATCATCATCATCATCATCATCATCATCATCATCATCATCATCATCATCATCATCATCATCATCATCATCATCATCATCATCATCATCATCATCATCATCATCATCATCATCATCATCATCATCATCATCATCATCATCATCATCATCATCATCATCATCATCATCATCATCATCATCATCATCATCATCATCATCATCATCATCATCATCATCATCATCATCATCATCATCATCATCATCATCATCATCATCATCATCATCATCATCATCATCATCATCATCATCATCATCATCATCATCATCATCATCATCATCATCATCATCATCATCATCATCATCATCATCATCATCATCATCATCATCATCATCATCATCATCATCATCATCATCATCATCATCATCATCATCATCATCATCATCATCATCATCATCATCATCATCATCATCATCATCATCATCATCATCATCATCATCATCATCATCATCATCATCATCATCATCATCATCATCATCATCATCATCATCATCATCATCATCATCATCATCATCATCATCATCATCATCATCATCATCATCATCATCATCATCATCTTCTTCTTCTTCTTCTTCTTCTTCTTCTTCTTTTTCTTCTTCTTCTTCCTCCCCTTCTTCTTAATTTTTGTTTAAATCTTTTACAATGTTTTGTAAAAATGAAAGTATGAGTAATTCCAATAGTTCATTGTAATTCACTGAATCTTTTCATTTTTTCATATGATTGCATAGTGAAATACATACATAAACAAATCTACTTGTATTGGTAGTTAATTTTCACCATAGACAAATTTAAAATCTACTGAAGCGTGAATTAAGTAGTATGATTAATTTTTTATAAACTTTCATTTTTTTCCGCATTGGTTTATTACAGTGGAATAATTTTATTTATTCATGAATTTATTCACAATCTTAATTATGATCATTAGCATAGAGATTGTTATTTCAATTACGGAGATGACAAATTTCTAACAACCATTATGTTATTGTACGGTGGTAGACAAGTGTTATATATATATATATATATATATATATATATATATATATATATATATATATATATATATATATATATATATATATATATATATATTTATATATATATATATAATCAGTGTATTTAAAGAAATGAATAATAGATGATATTTATATGTAGAGTATTGGAAGCTTAAGAGAATAGGTTCTGTTATATCCTAGCGATGATTTAATTACGAGTATCTTCTGAGATCGATTAATAAACTAATATTATCTATATATTCCTATGGTATAACAATTCAGTAATTAGATTATATATATATCTATATTCCTTTCATTATAAGCTTCATTTTAACCTATAAATTATTATTATACGATTTAATTACTTACTTACACCTGTTATTCCTAATGGAGCATAGGACACAGACCACCATTCGCCAAACAACTATATCCTACTCATTCCTTTCCAGTTATATCCAATTATTCTTCATTCTTCTCATGTCTGAATCCATTTCTCAACGTAATGTGTTCTTTGGTATTCCTCTCCCCCTTTCGTTAACCTAACCGGCTAAAGAAGCGCTAATCGGGAAAAATTATACGATTTACTGTTCCTAAATTATGTTCAGTTCATTAAATATCGTCTCCCACGTTCACAGCTTCATTTTGGTTTATTTGTGTATGAATGTTATTTCCTATTTTTTGGTGTGTTGCGGTGTGTTTGGTTAATATATAAACCCAGTATGTCTGAAATAAATGATTCGTATAGTGAAGGCTGTTATTAGCATTCTGGACTCAACTGGACGGGCTAGGTGAGCAACGAACTAATAGGACGCTAGGCTGATCAGACCGGACGAACGTCATTGGTTTAGTACAGTACAAAAGCGAATAAATCATATTTGATTGGTGACTAAATTGCGTAATAACTTGCAGGCCATAAAGACACAACAGGTTCAATAAGTCGAATATGCTTAGAATTAATATTCAAAATGATATATGTATTGGAGTGAACGGAACAATTACTACTTGCTATAGATATCTTCAGTTATTATTTTCGGTAAAAAAAAGTTTACTACATAACTAATTATACTTTTGTGTATTAGATAAATGAAAAAGCTCTACATCTTCAGAGATACATTCAATCTATTTGTTGTATTTTTAAAGAAAATATAATTTTATGCGTATATTATGTTTCATTTCGTCACATATTCACCCAGTTTCTCCGTTTCTGTATCATAATTATAATAATGGTAATAATATAAGCGCATTATTTAATACTTGATGCAAAGTCTCAATAAGGCACATGTAGTGGCATTTGGCTTTAACCACACAATTCTCAAAGCTGAACATGAGATAAATGAGAAAATAGATATTCAATATTTAACACGGAGAGAAGACCGACATTGGAGAAGGCGGGGAATATGGATTCACTTCATCGGAAGGCATGGCTGAGCCTTGCAGGTATGATCATTCTGTATGATTTGTTTTTACTCAAATTAAATATATTACTCTATCTTCAGCCTGAATGTGTTCTTCAGAAACTTCTGACATGTTGTTAATTGTTACGATGCGATTAGTCAATGTAGACAAAGATGTGATGTCCACATAAGATTTTATCGTTTAAACAGTCATATTATGACACATCTATACTTTTAGGATTAGGTCTATTATTATAATAGTATTAATAATGAAGTAGACTATAGTTCTACAAGTAATCAGTACAAAATGTGCAAAATCTGATAAATCCCCTTTCTGTATCGATGCAACATGCAAATATTTAAATAAATCCAATTGTTATTAGCTACAGCTCAAACTTATCATCAGTATTAGCTCTCATGACATCTGTTTATCATCAATAAATATACTGGATGTATTATTTGTCAAGATATTCGTCTTTTATTTTGCAAAAGAATGGATATGTAAGACAATGTGTTAACCACTATGGTGATTGCGTTTGAATTCTTTACTGTTTAACATTACAGATGTTTTGTAAAGTTTAAATAGAAGTCTTTGAGTACATTAGATAATTAACATACTTCAGAAGGAAGAACTGATTTTCAGAGCATATAAAGTTGGGAAATACTGCCTCAGAAGTTTAAGCAAGTAACCAGTCAAACTCGCATAGTTATGGTAAATACTTAGAATTATTTCAATTGTTAAATTCCATTTCACTTAACTATATAACGAATACTTTAGTTAATAGTGTCACCTATTTACAATCCATTCAGGATAGAGCGAACATAATTATGTCCATTAACAAATCACCAGATGTTCAGTTTGAGCGTGCAACTTATTCATAACAAACTTCAGTTGAAAATGAGAGTCGAACACATTTTAAAATGAGGTAGTCAATAAAGTAAGTTAAAATCTTTATGGATGAACATAAGTGTTTTTCTGATTATTACAAATATACTCTTCAGATGAGGATTAACAATCATAAAGACGAACAACATAATTTTCCTTAATATTTAATAACGAACATTAATTAAGGTTGTGGTGTGTGTGCTACTGATGTCGACAGTTATAAGGAGTATGTATCATCAATGAAAAGTGAATTACCTGACGGTAGAAGGTTAAGAAGATCGAAGAAAAGAGGACAAGAACAAAAAATGATCAGTATGGAAACGAAGGAACAATGAAGCCTGAGACAATTGGTTAACATTTTGCAAATGAAGTATTTATTGTATGGTTCTCAGATTTTACGAAAATGTTCTGTAATTTTTTCTTTAAATATATTCGATTGTCCTCACTTGTGTTCTCGTTCACTACAAGGGAACATAGTAACTGTTATAATGTATCACTTTACAATTATGAGACTCTCTAATCAATTATTTATAGTCACTATCATATTGATCAACATCAGAGGTAAATTTTTTCTACCTTTAGAATACCATTAAAAATTATAGAGCTAACGTTAGATTCATTGATGTATACGTTTGTCTACGTCTTGCTAAACAAACAACATCAAATGAATTCAAACTTCACCCCATTGCACAAGTATGTGGTTATCATGACTCAGTAGCTAAGTGGATAACGCGATGACGTTTGAAGCGAACGGTACTGAATTAGAGTCCCGGAGTGAACGTCAACTCTGGGATACAGGTAGATCCAGCTGACAAGTACTAAATAGGACGAAACGCGCGTTCTGGATTCCACTGCTAGCCACTATCCATCTTTGCTTAAAAAGCCTGTTAATTAAGGCTATATCGAGGTAATCCTCACAGGATGCACATGTGCTAACAAATGACTGATCAATTGCAGTCTTAAATAACAATGAGATAATACAAGTAAAGCAACACCAAATGAATTTAAGCATTAATTGTGTTCAAAATAATAAAAAATGTAGTGATAACTTTAGAATATAAGCTCAAAATAATACAGAATAACATACAAATATACTAATAAGTTATCACTAACTTTAATTAATGTGGTTCTGCATAGATTTTTTAAATTTATATGTGATATTGGTCGAGGATTAATCTTATTTGGCATAAAATTAAGAACTATAGAGCACAAGTTAGTTACTTCATTCTGATAGAAGCTCTTTAAATAGTACAATGGTTCACAATTATCCGAATCTATAAGCTTTAAGGCTTTGAGTGGACCCATTTACCATTAGATCACTAAGATGATAATACATGTAACCTATTTCCAACTTTGATTCATTTGTGGAGTAGTAAGACGATTGTTCAATGTTATTAGTGACTACTGTTTAGAAATGTTTTTATAAAAAATCAATCATTACAACTTCTCACTAGAAGTTTAGAATTCTAACTCCAAGTTAATGACATTTAAGCTCATGATTATAACAATTAACTTCTTTCACTACAATCAACGTCTTTTTATGTGTTAATATTCATACAATCACTTTATCGTTTGACGTTCATACTTATTTGATATGCATGATTTGATAAGTTTTCATTTTTATATAACTATATATAGCTAAACGTTTTTTTTTGTTTTATTCACTTGGTATTGTTTTATTTAAATCTTCCTATTGATGTTTACGACTGCAATTAAACAGTCTCTTATTAGTATATATGCATACTGTGAGTATTGTCTCGATACTGCCTTAATTTACAAGCATTATAAGCAAAGATGGATAGTGGTTAACAGTGGAATCCAGGACGAAACGCTCGTCCTTGAAATAGTCTACGATCCGTTGGCTGGTTAACTTTATAACTAATAACTTCACAAAAATCTCCAACAAATTTGATTGAAGGATTCATAGTTTTTCAGCTGATCACTTTTAAATTACTGCAAAATGATAGATTAATCTTATAGGTGATAATTCATTTCTTATCAAAATCACTAAAGAATTTGTACAAGAGTAGTGGGTAAATAATGTTTATGGATTAAACATTGAATATTATGGTTGAATAATTACTTCTAAATGAAACCTAGATCATTTCACTAAGATTTGATTTTGATCTATGTATTACATAATTTGGTCTAAATGACATTTTAATATATTTTGTTTTACTAGATCAACTAATTATGATGATAAAAGGTACTCAATTTACTCACAGAATAAATAAACATTAAATTGTAACGTCTAAGTGTTTGATACTGAAAATTAAAGTCAGTCATAAGGTGGGTTCGAATCCCATAGGAGCATTAATTCCATTTATACAACATGTATATTTGGTTAATAAATGTCAACTAATAAAACGTCTAAATGCAACATTTTCTGCCGACTAATTTCAACTAAACTCTGCCTGTAATGACGAACCGAAGTTCGAATAAAGGAAGAAATTAAGGTATGGGATTAACAACCTCATCCAGTGAAAAACAACACTGTTAAAGGAAATGCTAACCAGAAGTAATCCTTTAAATCATTTAATTTCTGATCTGAGAGTTAAAGGATCATCGTTTAGAACAGTTCCGTCAGTACGTTATGAAATCTGAGATTATTCAGAAACCAAAAGGCCGTTGCTCTTTCTTAAAACTAAAGCATCAATGAATATGCGCATATAAAATCTCCGGAAAATGTTGGAGACTGAGAGAGCCAATTAAAAAGCTGGAGAAAAGGGAAGATCGAAAAATTCCCCCCCCCCAAAAAAGATGAAACGAACATTCTTGATTCCCCTGACGACCAATAACGACTTATTATAACATATAATAACAGATCATTTATTCAATGAGTCTATTTCCTAAAATAGAAATATTTCAAATCTAGTTCAAAATTTTGATGGAGTTTTGTTCTCTGAGCTGAATGGTTTGGTCGTGGAGCTTTCATCGTTCTTCTGAACGGCATCATCAGCACAAACTTCAGATAGAAGTGAAGTGTTCGAATTTCTCCATATGTGTTTCACAGCTTGTTCTGTGCACCTTGATGTTGATTGGTTCTTATTGACATTAAATTTGTCATTGTCTACTTCTTTGTTTTGGTTGTGTCTCCCATTGGTTTGATTTTCGTTCCTATATTTATGCATGTTTTTCCTGATTGGTTGGTAAATTGGACGGATTTCAATATGCTTGTTTATTGCTGATTCACCTGAGTGTCAGGCTTATAAAAATTCTTTAGTGTTTTTGGAGTTTCCTCTGTCTAAGATTTCTACATTTTTACAATCGAATGAGTGTCCGCAGTTGTCCACATGTATTGATATAAATGAGAAAATATCATGGCGTTTGACTGCTAATTGATGTTCGTGTAGGCAAAGGTGAAGGGGGAGTCCGTTCAGAGAACAAAACTATACCAAAATCATCCACCTGAGCTACAAATCTTCTCTACTATCTCTAGTTCAAAATATCAAAAACAACAATCAAAACATAAAATATAAAGATTTAAATAAAATGACTTACACTTTAATTGATTCAAATTAATCCGGTAAAATTAAAATCCTTCTATTGAAAATCCAATATTTTTTTAAAAAACTTTATTTATTTGAACACACCAGTTGAAGGATTTTCAACGATGCATTCAATGAAACAAAAAATGTTTAAACGAATATTATTTGTCTTTGATTAATTCTTGCTACATAAATCTTATTTTAAAATAATTGAACATTGAATATGTATATTTTCAACAAAAAAACACCAAAAAAAAACAAACAACTTTCCAATAGCCAATCAGCAAATTTGTACAAGTGAAATCATGAACATCGGGGGGGGGGGGAGGAAAAATCAAAAGAATCCTGATTAGTTGATTATCTCTGTGATTATTTATTTATTGGAAAAGATAAACACACATATACAATTGTGCATTTATATATATATTCATATTTATATATTAGAGCACACTCAGAGAAGAATAAATATAGTAACTAGTGTAATAGTAACTAACGCAATATACCAATGGTGGTTATACCACTCATACACACACACGCGCTCACATGAGAATATGCTTATATATATGTATATACCTACAAATTTACATATCTACGCACTAAAACAAAACATAAAAAAAACAATTTAGAAGAAGAAGAAGAAGTGATTATAACAACAAATTTATAACTTTTTAATTGAAATAGAAAAGAGTTACTATTAATTTAGAAACATCATAAAAGAACAGGGGAAATAGGATAGAGAAATGAAAAGAATATGAGAGGATCAATCTGATTTTAATCAATATCAAAGGAATAGATCCGACTAAAATGTTTTAATTTGAATATAATTAGATATTGTATCGATAATCACGGAAATGTAATTTGTCAGTGGGGGGGCGGGAGCGGTGGAGCCGAAGAAGATAGGAATTTGCAGATCTTCAATAACAAAATTAATGATGATGATGATGATGAGAATAATAATAATAATAATAACGTCAATAATATAAACTGAGAAAAGTGTTTTGAATCAAAACACAAATGAATATATTTTCTTATCTCTGTATCTTTAATTTCTTTTAGAAAACACAAAAATTTGAAGTTTCTTAAATGAAATGATGTACAATATAATTCGTTTGTATCATTGTTTACATCTACACAATAAATGGAATTGTACTGGATAAATATGAGGAAATGGTTTATAAATGAAATCATTTGATTTATAACGATTTAGCCGGAAGTTTGAATCTCATTTCAAGTACTTTGCTTCCGGAAGTCGAATAACATCATTATTCCACATATAAAAATGTTTGGTATGTATGAGTTGAATTGACTTAATTTTCCAGTGAATATATTTAAATTGTGAATGATTCATGTCTAACAACTAAGTATGGCTGACTAAATTGATGATATTCAAGAACAGTCGTTTTATGTTATGAATTGAACGAAATAAGGAAAAGTCAGTTACCTACTTCTACTTAAATAATAAATTTATACAATTCCCTAAGTATCAAATTTTCGAAGTTCCATATATTAAGGAATCGAAACAACACCGTCGGAGGAAATCGTAAGGAATAATGAAACTTCTGACCATTGATTACTTGTTTCTTTATAAGTGAGTAGTTGATATCAACTGATAATTAAAAGTTATTTTCTTAATTTCTAAAAGAACTAAAAATATTCCTTAAAAACTGTTTTCTTTCATGTACTATTGAAACAGGTGTGGTTTATGCTATTTGTGTTTTCAGATTTAAGTAGCACATAACACTAATGGTACACTAGTGGTACAAGATGAAACGAAATATATATGCGCCACACAAATCATTCGACTTGTGTGAGCGTTGGGATACTGCCTGAGTGCTCAAACCGAAGCACAACTAAACCACTGTGTAATTGTTTATGAGACAGTAAATTGGTTTTCCCCACCTGGGTGTTCATTCATTACGAAGGTAGTAGAATACTGGAACAGATCACAACAACATAATTATATACACTCTCTGTCTTCCCTTAAACCATGAGATTAAAATTGCTTTATACCTTTCTTTCTACAAACCAATTCTTTCTTCCTGTAATATGTCCTTATATGCAGTGTTTCTTTTATATATTACTACCATTGAAGTAACTACTATAAATTTGGTGTTTATCTTGTTGTGCTAATGAGGTGTGGCAACTTGAACCGATGCATACATGTGCCTAGTCATACATTGTAACCGACTGACTCAATCGGGAATCACCTATTAACTGCTTATCATTTATTTGAAACCTATCAATATGGTTCACACACAACACTTAATAAGAACACAGCCTGGTTTTAGATAAATGCCAATTAAAAACCTTAAAATAATATATATATATATCCTATCTTGTCAGAAATATCTTTGAACTCTGAAAAGAAGCCGTTAATTTTAGTCATGTCTGAAGTGAAGTACATTTTATCGATGGCAATGGAAGATATAAATTTAAATATAACCATTTTTCGGTCATTATAAGTATTAACAATCGGTATAACAAATTATAGATTATAATCAAAATTTTTATATATCATATACTTTAAAACAATTGATTGGTTACATCGTAGGCCATCATATTTGTCGTGATAGAAAGTTATTGATAAATTAAACTATATTGGACAATTGTTATATCTTAGTTTACCCCTACAATATACACAAAAGGGAAAAGCAAGATTCTCCGATACAACATAGCATGCACCAATCCAATCACAATTGACGGAGAACGTTCAGAAGATGTAAAAACCATGACATATCTGAGCAGCATCATTGATGAACACAGTGGATCTGATGCAGATGTGAAGGCGTTGATTGAAAAAGCAAGAACAGCATATTTACAATTGAAGAACATCTGAAACTCAAAACAACTGTCTCTCAACCAAACAACACCAAGTTCAGAATTTTCAATACAATTGTTAAGACAGTTTTACTGTATGTGGTGAAAATCTGGAGAACTACGAAAGTCATCATCCAGAAGATACAAGTGTTTATTAACAATTGTCTACACAAAATACTTCAGACGCACTGGCCAGACACTATCAGCAACAACCAGGTGTAGGAGAGAACAAACCAGATTCCAGTGGACGGAGAAATCGAGAAGAAATCCTGGAAGTGGATAGGACACGCATTGAAGAAAGTACCGAACGGCGTCACAAGGCAAGCCGTCACATGGAATCCTCAATGTGAAAGAAGGAGAAGAATACCAAAGAACACGTTACGTTGAGAAATGGAGACATAGGTGAGAAGAATGAAGAATAATTGGATAGAACTGGAAAGGAATGAGTAGGACATAGTTGGTTTGAGAATGGTGGTCTGTGTCCTATGCTACATTGGGAATAACAGGCGCAAGTAAGTAGGTACGTAAGTTCACCCTTAATTTAATAATCAAGTTTTATAGGAATAGTAACACGATAAAGATATTGAGTAAGTATCATTAGTTTCCTATTTTATTGATTAAATTTAAATCAGTTAACTTTTTCAAAAATTCATTGATGCATAAACAATAATTGAATGATGTCATACTTGATATCAAAATAATATTTAAATTTAAAAAAAAGAATTAAATATAAATTAATTAATCTATTTGTATTATCTCAATGAGTAGAAAGATTAGATTCTCTGACGTTTCGTGACTTAGTGTAAGCTACTTCTTCAGAGAATAAATAACTAACCAAATTAAAATTAATCCAAGTTTAAATAGTACAACGGAACAAAACAAGAATATTATGTGATCAATAAAAAAAACAGGTTTGAACAAATCAATGTTATGTCATTTCAGTCAAGGTGATTCATAAACGACATGTATGTAAATTTGTGTGTATGTATATGTACACTGTTAAAGGTGAAAATTGTGTAACCTTTGTGGTGAGAATGGATAGAGTTTAATTCGTCAGATAATAGTGTGAATTGTAAATAAGATCAGACTAGGTGGCTAGGATAGATAGTCCAGGTAGGATTAAGCATTATATGGAACGCTTCAGCTATTCTCCTTTCTTTGTAATTTGAAAAACCATTTTGTGATATTTTGATATTTTTGAAATCGATTTGGTGGTCGTTGAAAATGGCGTGAACTGCTATTGCCGATTCAATTGGAAGTTGATCCAGTTCACCTGGATAATTAGGAGGTTTCTTTGTGTACCTGATATGTTCTTTGGCACGAGTCAAGATTTCGTGAGATAACTCTCCAACATAGAAGGCATAACAATCGACACAACCTAATTTGTAGACGCAGTTCTATATAGACATGAAATGGATTTTTTCTTTTAAGCGAACTAAAGTACTTCGAAGTGTATTCATTGTTTTGTAATATACTTTAATTCTGTGTTGTTTTAAGATTTTTCGGAGTTCTGTTAAAAAGAATTAAATATTTCATAATTAGCTAATTATTGACAGATAACTCTCATTACAACATTAAAAACATAAAGTTCAACGAAGGGATCTCTTTTCAAACAAATTTATCAAACTGTGAATACGGAATAACCGTGATAACGCAATGGAAAGATTACAATACTAGATTACGTAATACGAATAATAACAATAGACTTAATAAGTTAGTAACGTAAACGCAGCAAGATGATCAAAATGTTTTTTTAAGAAAAATATAGACACTGAAACATTCATAAAAACCACAAGATTACGTAATAAGAGGTAACTCATAATTGGACCGTGGAGCGTATATTTAAGAAAGGAAAAGGGTGGGAGGGTGTGAAGAATAATAAACAAACAAAGAGTTTGGGAAATAAATCATTTATTAAGTCCTGGGCAGAGATAAGGGTGTTACAAATTTCTTATGAATACATTTCTGGATTGTTGACTCGAATTCCTATAACTTCTGTTATGTGTAAGAGACGAGACCGAACATCATAAGGAAAACTAGTAGGAATATCATAAATAACTACATGGCAGCTATCGATCAAGTGTCATAGAACTGAGCTGTGTATTGTCTTGACATTACCTTTTCCTAACCACGAAGGGAGATGTTCACTGACTTTTTGGTTCAGTTGTCTGGTAGTGCTTCTAATATAGCTTTCTCCACAGGAGCAGCTGAACTCGTAGATACACATGTTTCTACGTTTTATTTCAGTGTTTATATTTTTCTAATCACTGACCTGTTTCCCAGTATGTAACATTGATTTAAGCCTTTATTATCCTTATCAAAACTAGTACACCCCTGATCACACTTTCAACTTGTACTTTTCAC